AAGTGTTTTACAATAATTAATTAGGAATAGTGTTAAAAATCCGGCGTATGATGCAAATTTATTGAAAAAAAACGTTCAAGCTTCTTTTCGAAGATTTGGTTGATTAAATGCAGTATAATTCCTTGCTTGAAAATTTTTTTTGTTGTTAAAATGTTAAAGCTGTAAACTTCTTCAATGTTAAAATCAGATAAACCAAAAAGCTCGCAAGCATGGTTTTTTGAATAAAAAGATTTTTCATGTTTTATTGAATAAAAAGAGCATAATTATCCAACCAGATAAAAGAAAACATATCACCGATCAACCTAGTTGCCTCAAATCTTGAATCGATCTGCTGAATAAGATTATCCAAATCAAGATTTAAAAACTTTTCTATATGGCTGTTGTTGAAGTAAGATTTGTATTTGAGGCTTCATAGGGAAAACTTTTTTAAAAAATTTCAGTTTTAAATCTTAGAAATCCAGCTACATTTACACCATTCAAAAAAATCTGCAACCAAATGTCTTTAATATGCTTGAGATCTTCCAGCAGCTGTATTAAACGTAACTTGGTTGTATTTTATTGTATTTAGATTGTATAAGACAACTAACGTCATTAATATCAACAAGGACTTTGTACGAAATTGTAATCAGCAATACAAACTTGAAAAATGATAACAGTTTTTCAAATGTTCTCTTTTGGTGATCTTTTCAATAGTCAGATCCAGGTGTTCCACGATATTTTTAAGAGCTACCAAAACTTCTCTCGGCTTCTCAACAAGTAATAAAATGGTGTTGATATGAGAGCTGCATCCTTTCATAGAATATCTATGCAGTTAAAATACTGTCGACTTTGTAAAAACTTTTCATAGGGCAGGACTTATGTTTAAAAATACGTACAGAGATTTGACATTTCCATAATAAAACCAGTTTCAAATATCCAAACCTAACCAGGTAACATTAGTGTTAAGCTTGGCTATATTGAATCCTTTCTTTATCTCGATTCCTTTGACACACAGTAATTGTTCTTTAATTTGCCAGTGATTAGTTTTGTGTATATATAGAATATAATGAATAGCAAAAGTAATCTGCTGACTGACTGGAAGATTTGTTGGTGGTACCGTAGACTAAGATGGTGATATAGATAGCATGCTGGATTACTTCGTTAGCTGTACTCCACATGACACCATCACATTATCTAATGAATTTATTTTGAGACAACGAATAGATGTAGTGGACTTTCATTCTAGAGTCTTCTTGGTAATATCGGCTTACATAAATCAAGTGGGATGCGATGACGGGATAATAGCGACCAATAAGCTCCAAACCGGTAAAAAAGTTTCTATTTCCTTTCTCTTTTTTTTTTGAGACAAAATAAATCAAATTTATTTTTCTACAACTTCTTCATTAGGATAAAAAATTTTTTTTTACAGTTTTTTTGATAAAAAACCTGTAAAAGAAAGATTCTTAATTTCTGAGGTTGAATGGACGAAAAATGAGGTCAACTTTTACTCTCATAACACAAGTTCTCTCTTGTTGAATGTTATTTTGTGCAACAATTACAATTTGTGCATTTTTATTCCAAATACTAAGTTTAAACCTCAAATACAAAACTAAGCAGGTTTTACATTGTTAATCATTTGGCGAAAAATTTTAATTTGTTGTAACAAGAATAAATACCAACAGGCTGTCCGGCGCTCCTTCAACCTTCGTGCCGAGTTAATTTGCCCCCTTTGCCCCTCCCTCTGAAAGGCCCTGTTTTATAATAAAAATGGTTTGAATAAATATTTCATAAAAATATTCAAAAAATTTCTAAACTTTATGTAGTTAATTTATTTACATATTTATTTCCAACTTTTTTAAAGAAGCCAAGTCATGAACTTATTTAAACTTTTTTGAACTTTTTTTTTTAGTAATTGAATTTTTTTTTAGAAATTGTCAATATTTTTTTAAAATTAGGGAGTGCCCCCTCCTCCCCACATCTCCACTTTGAAAACCGTGTCGTCAGCCCTGTTAACAAATTATTAGCGCATGCAGGTCAATTTGTATATTTAAATAAATATTTAGGGTGAACTAATGTCATGGAAGAAATTTTATATTGCAAATTAAAGAAAAAATTAAACTAGAGGGAAAATATTATTTTGTAATAAAATTCCCACCGGAAAATATGTTTTGGAAAATATTATTTTGTAATAAATTTCCCACCGGAAAGTATATTATATAATGGGGCATAGTTATTTCGTGACACCGGAATTAAACCACGGATCTCCGGTGTTGAAGCCAGAGCTCTAACAATGACTGCTCAATTGTAATATTTTAATTCATGAACAAGATTTAGGTCAAAATAAACTTTTTTTTTAAAATAAAAAATGTAATAAAGTATTTTCATTATAACATGTTTACATAGTAAAGTAAACATGTTTACATTGTAAAGTAAACATGATCTTGTTCACTGTTTCTTTTCAGTCCGGAAGTAAATCAGTTGTTAAAAATATTGACTCTACTGGTATTTACTCAGAAAACATTGTATAGTGAACTTCTAGTGGACTTATATTACCATTTCTAGTAATCTCCTTAATTTTTTAAACAGATTTGTAAAATTAAAAAAAAAACGTGGGTTGCATATAAAGTCAAACAATTCAATAAAGAAATATTTCCATTGTCGTTTGCATGATTTACAAAAACAAATTGTTGCATTTTAAGTACTACCAAGCGAAATAATTATCTAGACCCAAAGAGATTTAGTAAAACTTTTGACTCGGTGAAATTTAAAGTTTATTAATTATGCAAACCGTTTATTAATTATGCAAGTTATTTTTTGATAGCCGACACACGATATTGGAAAACTAGTTTAATTTTAGGAAAGTAATCCTTGGTAAATACTTGAGGTTAAAACCATGTTCTAACCAGGAAGGCATTTTTACTAACTAACGTCGCTTATATGCTCAGAGCCGGCTTCAAACCCCGAACCTCCGATGTTAAAGCCAGAGCTCTAACCAATGATCCATGACTGCTCAATTCATGAGCAAGATTTAACACCACAAATTCTTCTTTTTCTTTTCAACTATAATTTTAATAAGGATAATATTATCAATAAAAAAATTTTAGTAAGTTAAATATATTCTTGTTTGTTGTTTCATTTTCTGTTCAGAATTAATCTCAATGTTAAAAACTTCGACTCTACTGATATTAATCCAGCAAATATTGTAGATTGGAGTTTAGTGTATCTATATTGACATTTGTAGAAGTCCGATTCAGTTTTGCCTATCTGTTACTTAGTAGACCATTAGTAACATGCATTATAAGCGGCCGCCCGATAACTAGCCAAAATGTGTGGTCTAATGGATAGTGTTTGCCTAGCAAATCTACAATGAATTGTTATCACGCCTATATAGGTCCAATAACAATCCACAGAAAAAATGCTTGCTGGGTAGAGGCTAGTATGCTAAATACTCCTTTGTCAGCACAGCGTAATTTGTAAACTAAGTATGATGATTGTGCCAAAAAGATAAAGATATTTTCTTTATTTGCGGAAGGTGCACTATTGATGATAATTTATTTGATGTAAGTGTATTTACAATAAAAAAAACACAGTTATGTCTTGTGCATGTTTGTTATTTTAAATTTTTATGCTGTCTTTTTATTTTTTTAAATTCAAATTTCGCTTAATAAACTCTATTTCATCTTTTTCCTTTAATCTACTTTACTTGCTATTTCTAATTCAATAATGGCTCAACTAAATAAATATGTAGTTCAAGATTGAGGTAAGATAACTCTAGACGGCCATCTAATAATACCAAATGAAAAATTTATTCATCTGGGTTTTATTTGGGATACACAAAAATCCGTTTTCGCCTCACTCAATGGATCAAATATTAACAATAGGATATCAAATTTCCAAAAAAAAGTGCAAACTTTGATTCAATATTGTATACTGGCGTAGGAATAGGGAGAGGAGGCGGAGTGGGCTATAGCCCCCTGCCCCCGGAAAAAAAATCAAACATTGTGGGCGCAGACAATTCGTTTAGCCCCCCTCCCCATTTTCACAACAAAAAAGCACCATGATGAAACATAATGCGTGATAACTAAGTTTTTGCACAAATACAAAAGTGCATATAATTTTATTATTACATACTCTATAAAAATTGTAAATTACTTAAAATGAAGCTTTTGTATTTTATTATACAGTTTAATAAAAATTTTTACTACTTTTCTTTTTTTTTTCAAACTACAGGAGATGGCAAAGTACGAGACTATAAAAAATAAATCGTACAAACTCATTGTTCAGAATCCTGAAATAGAATCAAATGAAATTGCAAAGCGTTTTATCGGCCCTTTAGCCTCAAAACGTAGTATATATCGTTGGATCAAGCAAGTAAAAGAAACCGGTACATTAAAAAGCAAAATTGTCAATGGTCGTTCAGTAAAATTAGTAACCAAAAGAAACATTATAAAACTAAAAAATATTTTCAATCATAGATCAGGACGTTCTCAAAGAGCAGCTGCTAGAAAATTTGGATGCTCTCAATCATACGTTAACAAGTTGTTAAAAACGCGTACTAACATCAAGTATAGAAACTGATGAACTGAACTGAACAAAAAAAAGCTAGACCGAAATGCAGGCAACTTTTACAGCATTATGGATTGTGATTTTTAAATTGATGATGAATCGTTCTTTACTTTGAACCACGCTGATCAGCCAAGCAATGACGTTTTTTATACCGATGACTTTAATAAGACACCGGATAATGTTAAATACAGTTTCAAAACAAAATATTATTAAAAGTTGCTTGAATGGCTTGCTATATCACCTAAAAGGATTGACAAAACCTTTTTTTTAAAAATCTGGAAATGCGATCATCCAAGACGTTTATTGTGAAATTCTAAATAACAAACTTCTTCCGTTTATTAAAAAAATTATAGTGCTGGTGGTTATGTATTTTGGCCTGACTTACCATCCGCACAATATGCATCTAAGGTAATTAATTTTTGGAAGACCAGAATATATCTTTTATCCCAAAATTCATGAATCCAGCAAATTCGCCAGAAGCTAGTCCAGTAGAAGGTTTTTGGGAAAACTTGAAAATGGAGGTTTACAATAACAACTGGACAACAAAAAATCTTGTTGAGCTAGTAAAAAAGATAGTTGGCAATATGGGCTTAAAGTTTGTACAAAACCATGCTTTATCAGTCAAGAAAAGGATTGATAAAATAAGGAGATCTGGACTCTAACTATTTTTTCATTATTATTTTTTTATAGACTTAATTGAATCGATTATTTCAGAAACCCGTTAAGTGCAAATTTTCTGATTTTGAGTAAACTTGAAAAAACTTTCCCAGCAAGACAATGCTTTTTATTCTTGGTTTCTTATATTTTTTTTATGGTAGTACTTAATAAAACAGTACTTTTTATGAATTTTTTTTTTTTGTAACTGTTAGGACATAATAAATGTATAAAAATGTTGTACTTAACGTGTTTTTGCAGTAAATTACCATTTTTACCATAGTTTAACCTGTAAAACATAATTTTATTATTGCAAGGTAATTTAGATATTAATATCATAAAACCAATATTATAGTGGTTAAGTTTTTATTATTATTAAAAAGAAAATACAAGTACAAGTATCAAATATACGCTTGCTAATCTCCAACGAGATCATCACGAGTTTCTCCATCTGTGATTGTCCATTCAAAGATTCGGTCATAAAAGTGTTCGTATCCAATCAGCCATCTTTTTGTTGGTTTTCATGTCATGTATACTAAAAACATTCACCCACAGTTGGCGCATATAAAATATTTCTTAGACTGGTATATTAGGCAGAGGCAAATTTTGCATATAATCAAAACATAATATGCAAGTGTCATCATCTTTGTTAGCAGCCGCAGACTCCATGATAGTATAGAACTTTTTCGCTATTCTCTTGTGAACTAAGAGTTCAGCAGCCGCAGCGCGTTTAGCGTTATCATTTAAACATTTATCTTTTAACTTACAGTTAAGATTTTTGCAAGTACTACACACATCTACCTGAGGCTGGCCAAACGAATATCCAAAGTTTTCCTTAAAATTATAGTAGAAAAAGTTGTATTTAACTTTATCTTTTAGGTCTTGATTGTCAACGATAAACACGTCGTACATTTTCTTAATAGTTAACCGGGCATCTAAGTACTTTTTAGGTTTTACACTATAGTGTGTCTCTTTCACTTCAATTTTAGATATGTGGTTATGAATGAGTACCGTTATTTTTCCCAGGTTTGGTATTACCACTCCTGCTCTTGCCCCTTTTATCAGTCGGAGATTTATTCTGAAGCAGCAAATGACAAATCCTTTCTAACCTATCGCGTGAAATTCCATGAGTTTCCATAAAAGCACTTTTGCATACAGGTTTTAATATACCATTTACCTTAAGATTGTACAAATATGAGTGATTCCTCTTAAAAGGTAGAATATGAACGTTGATATCTACAGATTCGTCGACAAAATTCTTACAGCCTACATTGTTTCCTACGTTTTTTTTACGTCTACGTTGGACATCTTGAACCTCAATCAAAGTTTTTATGTAGGTATCCTGGATGTTTTTATCTTCTAGCTAATAAAAATTATCCCATGTTTGGTCTATTACTAATTTGTTAATGATTGAAGAGCATTTAAAATTACATTTACATAAAATACCCTGTGGTTGAATTTTGCTCAAAATTTGCTTATTGTTGTAGTTTTTATAGGCCTCACCTTTAACTCTGGCACTACGTATTTTATTGCGTTGGTATTTTTCCTCATGAACCACTCCACGCCTCCGTTTAAGTTAAGGTTCGTCTTCTTCTGTACTAGACGTTATTTTTCACCTTAATAAAGACTATTAAAAATAAATATAATATTACAAAACATTAAATCACTAACACGTGTTTAAGCGCACTATTGATCAAGTAATATCAAATAATTGTATTGTCAAAGATAATATCAACAACAAACACATGTTTGTATTGTCAAAGATAATATCAACAACAGTTGTATAGTATCAACATAATTGTATTGTCAAAGGTAATATCAACAACAAACACATGTTAAAACAATATTAAATGGAAAAAGAATACGGCTTTTTAGCTCGATTAATAATAAATACAATTTATAAATACATCAGAATACAAATTCCCACAGTTTATCGCAGAAAGCCGATAAGCACCGTCACTTGATGGGTTTCTGCACTTAACACACTATTTAACCATAAATTTAATAGCTATGGATATTTGGTACTTGACGCGTTTCTGCACAAAACGATGTGTCTATCTTTAAAGAATAATAAATTGAACCTAACTCATTTTTTTTAATTTTGGCGTTTGACGGGTTTCTGAAATAATCGATTCAATTGACAACATTATAATGTATTTAATAGATCTAAAATAAAATTTCCAACATTATTAAATTTCAGTTTAAGTTTGTGCCAAAACTTAGTTATCACCCGTTATTCATCAAAATATGTAGGATTGTATCGGTAAGGGCAGATCTAGGATCTGTTATCTGTTATTGTTTTCAAAATCACCATGTCCTCAAAGTTGGTTTCTGGCAGAATGTCATCCTCTTTGACCGTCATTGCCAGTTGAGTCAACCAATCATTGCCTAATGATAAGTCAATTATTTATCAATTTCAATTTTAAGAGTTTTTTCTCCGCACTGTAGTTGCTGACTATGAACACCAAATACATACTAAGTGCTCTCTCCGCATTTGTAAATGATCCCCAAAATTTTTTCTTAGAAATCATTTGATAAATGAAGTTCTTTAGAGAGACATCTTGATGTTTTTCATTCTTGAATGCATCAATAAATCAGCAAAATATACACGCTCATTTCTGAGGCATACCTCAAGGTTGTCATTATAGATCCTAATAAAAATTCAATGCTGCTGTCATTATCTCATGCGATGGGTCTCAAGTACATTGAGTTACACCGTAAGCTTAAATTCAGAGAACTTCTAAATTCCTAATTTAGAAGTTCTAATTGCTCTGCATTGATTCCATTATTATGAGTATCATGAGGTTGTTAGAGTTAATAAGGTTGTTCAAAGAATTTATCGATGCAATAGCTAAGAACCAGCGCTAAGATTACAATGAACATCAACGAGTTAATCTAAGTCATCTGTAATTTGATTGAGGGTTTTCATAAAGTGCAGATAACCCATGACAAAACTTTTGTAGCATCTATCGCTCTACATGACCATTGAGTATTGTTATTTCTCATTGGAACATGTATTGAAAGATGTGTTAGCGCATGTTGAAGAGTTGAATAAGACATATATATCCTTAAAACATAGCAAAAAAATCTACTGTGGTAGGATAAAATTATGAAGCTGGATAATTAACAAAATTAAATGAGTGTACTTCAAGCAAATGGCAGTCTCAATAAAAAACTTAACTGTAAACTTACTTATTTTGTATTGAATATAATTTTTTTAGTTTTAAAGCATATGTATGCCGTAGATATAATCCGACTCGTTCCCATTTTTAGCAAATTTAATATTTTTCTATTATTCCGAAACGCTTGTGGTTAGTCATATATACAGTGCGTTTAATCAATTTAATCGATGAAACCCAACTTTCATGCCCTTTTTATTGCTGCTCTCTCTACTAACTTCATCTAGATGAGTTTTTAAGATGAATTCATATTTGCTGAGTAACATCACAAGTGCTAGAAATTGTTATTTGTCCACATTATCCACAACCATTTGGCTGTTATGGATGATAATGTTCCAGCCAATCGTTCCAACCCATTCCTGTTCACCTTGATAAGCAATGCCTTGGTTTCAAACTAATAAAATGATGTCAATTACTCTGTCTAGAAGAAGGCGTTCTTGTTCTGCTTCATTTTTTTTTTACTGTATTACTGTAGAACAGGTGATCAATTCCTTTTTTACTGTTAAACAGGTGATCATAATTATTTTTATCAAGACACTATCTCTAGCCTTTACTCAACCAAGAACCCCAAAAAAGATGTTCAAAAAAAAAGTTTTATTCATAACTGTGCGCATTTTCATTTTCCAATTTCAATGTTTATTTTGTCTTAATGTTCATTCATTCACTTATCAATTCATTCACTGTTTGAAAAACAAAAATTGAAGCAATTATTGTAATAAAAAATATGAACCTCATTCTCCCAGGTGCATAGGTTTAGATTAGGTTGTATAGATAAATACCTAATCCTTTGTTATAAACTTGATCCAGTAAGTACTGCATCAAGTTTATACAATTTAAACCCAATATATTGGGTTAATATAGTAAAAATAATAAAATTTTGCAATGGTTTTACATACGTTGGATCAATATGTTGTGCTAGCTGGGTGAAAGGGTTATATGTGTAACATCAAAAACACCTGCTTATGCCAATTTTATGATCGACCTTTTATTTAAAACAGTCAATAGGGAACTTACACATTTAACATAATAAACTTTAGATTATTAAGTTATACAGGTACCCTGAAAGACACCTAAGAAATTTTATCTTATAAATCTTTTCTCCAATGAATTTTTTTTTTGATTTTAAAAGTAGTTCATTTGCACATTCCAAACTTTTAAAATTTAAATCATTTGTTGGTAGCTTTTTGACCACCTGCAAGGTTTGTTTTAATTAAAGATTAGGCCCCGTCCAATTCTATTTCGACTCTAGGGAGTAGATAATTTAGTGATATGTAATTTGTTTGGTTGTTTGAAAATATAACCCAGGACAACCTGCTTAATGTCATGCTGTCTTGTATGATACGCTGTCTTGTATGATACTTGTATGATACATGCTGTCTTGTATGATACTTGTATGATAAAGGTATTTTAGACAAAGACTACGAAAAGCCAACTTTGACTTAACAGGCTCTATGCCTTGGGGCTCTTGGTTGCGTAAAGGCTAGAGATAGTGTCTTGATAAAAATAATCATGATCACCTGTTTAACTTTTTTTTTGAAAATCTTTTTTGATAAACATCTAAATTAATTTGATGAACATCTTAATTGGAAAAGTCATATAATGCTAAATGAAAATAAAATTTTTAAAACTATAGACATTATGCATGAAACAAAACACCTACTAAGTAAAAAACGTTTAGTAGATTTATATTACCTCTTTATCCATAGTTACATAAATTATTGTAATATTGCTTACGCAAGTACTTGCCCTTCCGCAATTGAAAAAAGTGCATGTTAAACAAAAAATAGCAATTAGAATTATATGTCAGTGTATTAACACGCTCACTCCAAGCAGTTACTTCGGGAAATTAAAGCTCCTAATGGTTACGAATTAAGCCTGTTCCAAAACTTTTTATTCATGTTTATATATCAAAATAACGTGCTTCAAAAATCCTTTAATAACCGATTTCTAAAAATTAATCATAAATACTTAACGAGGTGCTCTATCCATATAGTTATAAATATCTGTAACATAACATTTATGTCAATACATGTATACACCTATAATTAATATATAAGTTTATATAAATCTATTTAGATAATTAAATAAGTCTACACACAGACATGAATATACATATATTTCTGTGTATGGATAAAAATACATACTTGTATGCTTATATAACATGTATATGTATATATGTGTACACACACACACACACACACACACACACACACACACACACACACACACACACACACACACACACACACACACACGCACACACACACCTATATCTGTGGCTTGATAAAAGAAATGAAAATCAAAAAAATTTCTTCAATTAAAATTATTTTTTCTACTTCTTTTACCAAGCCAAAGATATGTAATATATATATATATATATATATATATATATATATATATATATATATATATATATATATATATATATATATATATATATATATATATATATATTATTTCTCGGTTCTTTACGAACATTACGCGCTATATATGTAGAATAGACTAATTTAATATGCACACACACACACATACACACACACACAGACACACAAACACACACACACAAATATATATATATATATATATATATATATATATATATATATATATATATATATATATATATATATATATATATATATATAAACAATTCAGTTATATATATATATATATATATATATATATATATATATATATATATATATATATATATATATATATATATATATATATATATATATATATATATATATATATAACTGAATTGTTTTTTCCAATTGTATGATTCCAATTTGGAACAAATTGCCGTTTGATGTCGAACTTAATAAGTCAGTGTTAAACTTATATATTTATATAACTTATACAACCTTTGATGTCGAACTTATAAGTCAGTGTTATATATATATATATATATATAAATATATATATATATATATATATATATATATATATATATATATATATATATATATATATATATATATATATATATATATATATATATATATATATATATATATATATATGTATATATATATATATATATATGTATATATATATATATATATAGTGACCTCCAAAACTTAAGCAACTTCTTTGGAAACAACATGACTTAGTTGAAAAATCTTTATTTATAGAGATGTAATTAATGAATTAGAACTAAAAGTTTCAGAAAATACTGTTAGAAGATGTCTTGATATTGCAGGATTATTTAGTTACAGAGCTGCAAAAAACCCGTTTATTTCAGAAAAAAATAGAAAAGCTAGATTAGAATTTGCCTATGCTCATAAAAATTGGACAGTAGAACAATGGAGTCACATTTTATGGAGTGATGAGTCAAAATTTAACATGCATCATTCAGAAGGAAAAAAAAAATCTACTCCTGATGATAGTAGTCTGTAGCCTTGATCTTAATGCTATTTTTATATCTTAAATCTAGCCCATGTTGGTTTAAACTCTGCATAAATAAATTCTATATATTGTTCAGCAAAGTTTTCTAATCTTTAGTTATAGTGTTCCACATACAGTTGTACATGAAACAGTAAAATGTGAATTTTGCATGTTTTATTAATTTTTTAATTTAAATTTAATGCAAGCTTTTGTGCAGAATGCACAATGTCATAATGTTATTCCTAGCCCTCTTTGGAGATCAGTGAGGTAGCCTTGTGGAAACGCTGAAAAGTTTACTATTAGATACAAACTCAGCTTCAGAAGCGGAAGAACTGAAAGGAAGTTCTGACAGAAGAGTAAAACAAACACTTCTTGGTTTTTCTTGGCATCTTCAGCATCCCTTTCTTTTTATTATAAATGTTTTATTGCTCGTTTAATTTTTCGAGATTCCTGTTGAGCCAAATGCTTCTCCATACCTTCAAAACTGGAACTGTAGAGATTTTCTCGCAGGGATATCAGAAACGATTTGTCTTTCTCATTGTGCATAATCTGCCATGCATCTGATCTTGCAACATTAAAAAGTTCCTGTAAATCATTTTTGAAAATTTCCTCTTTCATTCTGTATTCCTCGAAACTTTTTGTGCAACTTTTTTTTAATGACTTGTAGACATTATGTAACTTCAGCAATTTTTTGGAAGCATATCTAACTGGCGTAGTCGGTATCTTAGCCTTTTCCTAGTACCGAAAGACTGATAACATGGTAATGTCAGGACTTGAGTTTAATGATTTCTTATATATATATATATATATATATATATATATATATATATATATATATATATATATATATATATATATATATATATATATATATATATATATATATATATATATATATATATATATATATATATATATACATATATATATTAGGGTGGGTCAAAAATTTTTTTTTTCTTGTTACAGGCTCTAAACATTGCTAATAGTTATTAATATTGATACTATCAAATATGAAAATGATTGTGATAGATTTAAAGAGCGCAACTTTATTAGGAAATTACCGGTACCCTAATATTTTGGAGAAAAAAAGTTTTTCAAAAGTAGATTAACCTGGTACTCAAAAGAAGCGAAATTTTATGAAAAAATTCGAAAATAATAATCGTTTTATAAAAATCATATTGCTAAAAAAATTTGTTATTAAAAAATATGTAAAAATGCACCTTTTTCACTTTTAGTTAAAAAACTATAGTTATTATGCAATAAAATCTAAAATAATAATTTTTATATGAAAAAATTATTTTTGAAATTTTTATAAAATTTCGCTTTATTTGAGTACCTAGATCACATAATTTTGAAAAACTTTTTTTTTGAATAATAATGCCTGCTAATTTTTGTAATTATAGTTGCGGGTGGAAGACATTGTTCAATCCATAAACGTAAATACTTTCCTAAATTAGTACATAAAAAAACAACTTTCTAGCAATGTTTAGAGTCTGTAACAAGAAAAAATAATTTTATGACCCACCCTAATATATATATGTATATATATATATATATATATATATATATATATATATATATATATATATATATATATATATATATATATATATATATATATATATATATATATATATATATATATATATATATATATATATATATATATATATTCTGTTTCTAATTTTTATAAATGATTTTTGCAATGCATCTTTAAAACTAAATTCAGTCATGTTTGCTGACGATATAAATCTATTTCTTACTAACAGTGATATCAAGAATCTATATGCAGACATGAATATCGAACTAATTAAAGTAAATAACTGGTTTAGAGCTAACAAACTCTCGCTTAACTCAGAGAAAATAAAATATATATTATTCCATAAAAAGGTGCAAGAAGAAAACCTTCCTCTTAAGTTGCCTGACCTTATTCTAAATGATAACTTAATTAAAAAACAAGCCAGCATTAGATTCTTAGGAGTTCTTGTTGATGAGAAGCTATCCTGGCTTCCTCAAATAAGATATATTCAATCTAAAATCAGTAATATAATTGGTATGATGTATAGAGTTCGCTCATATATCAATAAACAAAGTCTAAAACTAATTTACTTTGAACTAATTCATTGCTTTATCAGCTATGGAAACATATCATGGGCAAGTACTCAGCCATCAAAACTTAAAAAAATCTATACTCTACAAAAACACGCATGCAGAATCATTTACTTTAAAAATAAGCGTGAGCATGCAAAACCTATAATGAAAGATATGAAAATGATGGATGTTTTTGAAATAAATATCTATCAGCATTTAATTTTTATGTATCAATTTAATAATAATCTCTCTCCTACAAACTTTACTAACAAGTTTGAAATAAACATAAATGAAAACTACTATCTAAGAGCAAATACAAGTAACACATATAAACTGCCTCAAAACCTTAATAAATATACTGAATACAGCATTGCATATCGGGGGCCAAATATATGGAATAGATATCAAAAAGGATCCAAATGTATGGCAAAGTCATTAAGTTCATTTAAGTTTCTGATAAAAAAAGAAATTTTTAAAATTTGATTATTATTTGTGCTTAAAAGGATTACAAAGTAATTTTCTTTATAATCTTATTTATTTGTTTTTATTGATCAGCGCAGCAGTTTTATGCCCATTAGGGTTTTTAATTTAATTTAATATCCATAACCTAATGAAAATGTATATAAGGGGCTCTATGAAAAGATTGCAATGACGTTTTGTCATCTTCATCTTCTTTGAGCCCCTGTCTGTTTAACTCTTTATTTTATAAAGATCATTGTAAAAAAGTATAGTTTATTTTATATACTGTATATACAAAAACGGTGTTTGTTGACAAGATTTTACTGTCTTCTTTGTTATACGGACATATTTCTTTCTTTTTTGTATATTTATGTGTTGATTATATTTGTTAAACAGCAAAATAAATGTAAAAAAAAAAAAAAAAAAAAAAAAAAAAAAAAATATATATATATATATATATATATATATATATATATATATATATATATATATATATATATATATATATATATATATATATATATATATACATATATATTAATCTAGCCTTCTCTTTTAGATCAGTTAAATCAATATTGCTTACTTTATTACCCAGAGGACACGGACGTAAAATAGACGTCTTTTGAACGTTCGAAAGACGTCTTTTTTTGGTCCGGTGCCCACTGGGTAAATATGTAAAGAACTTAGTTGAACTTTTATAGGTTAGAATACCATCACCTCCGTCAGATACTTTAAAAAAATAAATAGATAACAAGTTTTTAAGTTTAAAGCTATAAAAATAATTTAGAATCTGTAAATAATAAAAATAATTAAAAAAAAAAATAAAAATAATTTAGAAAAAATAATAAAATAATAATAATAAAAAGAAAATAATAAAAATAATTTAGAAATTAATTTAAAAATAAAAATAATTAAAAAAAATAATAAAAATACAAAAACAGTATATAATAAAAGTCTTAATATTAAAACTCAAAGTAATGCTAAAACTGATAGATTATGTTAAGCTCTTTACATCAAAATTTTATTACTATCATCACTGCCACTAAAATTATTAAATTTTGGATTGAATTATATTTCTTTAAAATGCAAGATGCAGGCCTAATTCAAATAAAGTGTAAACAGAAAAGCACATTAAAAAAATAACAAAATGTTATACTTTTAAATACTTATATATAATCATATACTTTAATCTGAATCATGGTTCTCATATTCATCTTTATAAGTATTTACAACTCCATCCTTAGCCGTTTTTTTTGTCATACGTACATAATTTTAATTTGTTTCATTATCGTAACAAATTTCATTATCATGCGTATTCTTAAACTCGTTGTAATTTCAATTTGTTTCATTATCATAACATTTTTTAACTGGTTGTACTTTTTGTTATTTTCCTCGTTGTTATTTAAAATAAATTATTTTATTTCTAATTTTCCTTACTTTAAATTTTAATGATTGCTTCTTACGTTTTTATCGCTTAATTAGTTAAAACTTATTTTTTTAACGATATAAAACAAAAAGTAACCATAATGCTTTCTTGAAGAGCTAAATTTAGATTGCTGCGTTTTCATGACAAATAATTTAATAACTTTGCTTTCAGGTAAAAGCTTTGATAATTGAGCTCAGGGATCGTCCATAAAGTACGTACGCTTTTTTTTGTCAACTCCCCCCCCCCCCTCCCTGCGATTTGCAATACGCTTTTTTAAGTACTCTCCACCTCCCTAAAAGTAGCTAAGCTTTTAAACTATTTATCTAACATTTTATGATTATTTTTTTAATTTAGTGTCTCCTTTCTTTTATAATTGACTGCCCTCTCATCTCATAACGCCATTTGCAAACCCCCTCTTCCCCTCCGAGCGTACGTACTTTATGGACGATCCCTTAGATAAAAAAAAAAATGAGATATTTTAAGATTGAAAACTAAAAAAGCGCTTCGAAAAACAATGAAACGATAGGGCCGATGACACCGGAGGGGGCCAGGGGGCACATGCCGTTCCACTTTTTTTAAAAGGAAATTTTTTTTTTTTTTTTTCAAGAAAATTCTAGATATAGAAGACTTTTTTTGAAAATTGGCAATTGTGCCCCCCCCCCCTCCACTTTGAAACCCGTGTCGTCGGCCCTGAACGAAACTTACGAAATATATATATATTTTTTTTAAATAAAAGTACTTGGGAATTTTTTTATTCAGTAAAAACTCTCCGCCTAGAAAAAATGTTATGAGCTTTGACTAAGTTTCTAAGAAATTAATAGTATATATTAATAGTATATACAAGCTAATTATTAAGAAATTAATAGTATTTACAAGCTAACCCTAACCCTTTGAGCAGCCGTGGCGCAGTGGTTAGTGTTCTGGCTCAGAACCTAGAGATCCAAGGTTTGACGCCAGCTCTAGCATGTTTTTGATTGTAAACTTTTTTAAGTTGATTGTAAACTTTTTTAAGCTTACACTTAAAAAAAGTTTACAA